CAGGCGGGGAGGAGGGCGGAGCCGCTGTCCTCCTGTCAGTTTCATGACAGCAGCGGCTCCTCCGCCGTCCATTTTTTTTCGGATCCCCGCTGCCTCAGCCCATACAAGCGGGGGAGAGCAGCAGGGATCCGGGCCCCCCCAGTGCCGCGGGCCCTATAGCGACCGCATCGATCGCTATGGTGGTAGTTCCACCAGTGCTTCCATGTCTGACAATAAACGTTGCAAGAAGTATCATTACTAGCATCTTAGGAAACACACATTCATAGATGCCCCTAATGCAAATAGAAAACTAAGGCTTTAACAGCTAGCAATGATGATCACCAAAATCTACGCTATCTTGATCCTGCAAAACAAACTAGTATGAAAATGTAGGGGATAGAAAGTATAGATCCTGGGAAAAACCGATCCACAGAGTCACTGAAGCATCTGCTGCTTTCACTAGAGGATGCTGGTACCTAAAGAGAAACATATCCAATTTGTTGTTTAACCTCCCTGGCGGTATGATTATGGAGGATTTTAGCATGCCAAATCGGTACATTGTTTTTCATGGCAATTTGTTGTTTTATATTGTAGGCCTGTAATTTTTAGTAAATCTTAGGAATAACTCACCTAAATCTGTCCAAACAAGAGTCCAGTAGACATCCCGGGTATGATAAAGTTTGAAACACGAAATCATAAATTATAATATAATAAATAATTATAAGGGAGGTTAATGAAGGTGCCAGAAGGATCACATTCAGCGTCCCCCACATGCTACACAGGACCTGGAACATCTCCTGGCATAGGGACAATTCCCCTAGGTCCAAAAGCTTGCACCTAAGAAAGTCTGCCTGCCAACTGATGGAAAAAAGTAGGAACTTGAAAATCTGCTCAGGGCAGGATCTGAACCCAGATTGGATGAACCTCCAACAGTATGGTCAAAAGCTGCAGAGACAGCCAAATCACCAGAAGACCAAGAGTGTTGATCAAGAGGTGAGACTCTGATGAGCACCGCAGCCCAACAGGCTGGCAATCTTCGTAGGGTTCTTTAAGAATATGGTAATGAAGGAACATGATTGGCTTGTTCTATGACGACAGTACA